ATGCAAAAACATGTGAAACAAATGAATGCGATGCACCAGTATCAATCAAAACATGAGCAAGATGGTTACAGATAGTGTACATATCTTATACCACGTCCGATTTGGCTTCTACATCCTGCTAAGTGAGATTATAAGCCCTACCCTTGATAAGAGGTCTGGCTTGGTTTTGGTTCCTCGAGCACTCCCTTGCAGAATATTGGGTGCTACCACATATGCGGCAGGTGTTGTTGAAGCGATAGCAGGGTCGGTCCCCATGATCCTTACCATAATGCTGACAAATTTTACCACGTCCTGCTGCTGGAACCTGTGGGACAGCCTAAGTCATCAGCCTGGGTCTATTGTTTTGTTGAACAGGTGCAGTAAGTGCTGGTCTGCGGTGTGAGGCTGAGAACTTGAGGTTCCCTACTGCTTAGGAGAAAGTGTGAAGGCTCCTCTCCACTAACTGTATCTTAGCCAGAACAGTCAAATAAATACTGAACTTGAGCACAATCAACTGCTGTCTGATCTCAGGACGGAGACCCCACTCGAACCTTCTAGCCTTCCTGCTCTCATCCATCATGCTCTCAGGAGAATATCGACTCAACTCTAGGAACTTGCAAACATATTCTAATACAGTCATGTCCTCTTGGACCAAGTGTACAAACTACATCTCCTTCAAATGTCAGAGATGCTCTGGAAGGTACTCTACATGAAAGGTCGTTAGGAACTATTCTCAAGTGACTGGAAAGAGCAGGTTGGTCTGCTTGAGTTGCTACCAGCGGTCTGCTTCTCCCACTAGCATGTAAGTAGCAATATTGACCTTCTGTTCGGGAATCACCCCAAGAATCTTGAAGGTCTTTTCTGTCTCAGCTAACTAGAGCTTGGCCTCTTTAAAGGAGGATCCCCTTACAAAAGTAGATGGATTTAGTCTTTTATACCTTTCTATATAGCCTGGGTCCATCATGAGAGGAGCTGGGTTTCATGGATGAGGGACTAGACTGTACTAAGGGTGGACTGGATGGGCCTGCAGTGGTACTTAATGATACGATAGAAGCACCGGATTGTACTGTGGTGGTGCCAGGTGATGCGGTGGCTGGGGCACCGGATCATACTGTGGTGGTGCCGTGTGGTACTGTGGATGAGCAATGTCATATCGAGGTGGCTCAAGATCCTCCCGCTGCAGGGGTGGCTCAACCTGTGGCAGCGAGAGAGGGTCAGGTAGCTCCCTCCTTTCCTCTTGTGTCTGCTGGACAACAATGAGTCTCTCCACCATCTCTAAAAACTGGTCAACATTCTCTCTAAACGAACCCTCTGGGCTGCTCGGTTTAATGGGGGTCTTCCTCTCCTCATCTATCAGTACCTGCATTTCATAAGGAATGGTTGAGTGACAATTCATTATTTTTTATGTTTCCTAAGGATTTTGTGTAAGGAACGGGTCCGAGGAACGTGTCTCTAATACCAACTATAACGACTCCGGAATGTCCAAATAAAATAAATTATAAATTAAGCGCATAATCAAAATAAATGGTTAAGGTTTACATTTTTTACAAAATAACTTAAAGTACCAAATAGTACTACGAAAATTACTTTTTTGAAAGAAATACAAAGAAAATAAGGAAATAAGCAGAAAATAAATAAAACTAGCATTTTACTTGCAACCCTCTTATGGATCGGGCTCTAAATTCTAGTTTTCTTGATCTGAGATGGTTAAATAAGAAATAAGCTACATTAGCCTAGTAAGAATATTACTCTACTCACCGACACAAAAATGAAGGTTAGTAGAAAATCAAAACAACTAATGGAGCACTTAATTAAAAAAAATCATTTATGATAACCAAAATCTTTACCATCCACTTACCATAGCAAGATTTATAAAAACAACCTATAGATATAATAACATAGTACCTATCATGATTTCATATGCAATCGGTAACATGCACACATTATAAATTCATGTTCAATAAATCAAATAACAAATTGTCTCTTTCCATCAGTCTGCTGGTATCCAATGGGGGTTTATAAAGATGTCTCCGCTACG